AGACAGATCCCAGTCAAAGATGAGGTAGGAAGAAGGCGGTGGTGAAGGATTGGACATACTCTCAGGAAGTCAGGCAGCTGTATAACAAAGAAAGTGTTGGATGAAATCCACAGGGTAAAAGACCAAGGAGAAGACCGCAGAGAACCTGGAGAAAAATCACAGAAACTGATGTACAGAAAAGTGGGAAGACGTGGAATAACATCAAGAGGCTAGCCCAGGATAGAGAAAGGTGGAAGGTGTTTGTCCGCGGTCTATACCCTGGTGCAGGGTGAGAAAGGCAATGATGATGCTGACACACACACACAAACGCACACACACACACACACATACACACAAACACACACACACACACACACACACACACACACACACACACACACACACACATTCAAGAGATACAAATGATCGTAGAGACCCTGGATAAGCATACAATGTCAAGTAAGTTCCGAATGGAAAGCTAAAGTTTTCTTTAGCCCAGTATAAAATACAGTACATGCAGTAGATCTACACATGTGTAGGCCTATAAAGTGTTTTTCAGCCCAGTTTAAATAAATACAGTACATGCAGTAGATCTACAAATATGTTGTATGTAGGCCTATAAAGTTTTTTTTAGCGAAATTTAAAATACAATACATGTACATGCAGTAGATCTACACATGTGTAGGACTATAAAGTTTTCTTTAGCCCAGTTTAGAATACAGTACATGTAGTAGATCTACTCATGTGCAGGTCTATAACTATAATATAACGTTTTCTTTAGCCTAGTTTAAAATACAGTACATACAGTATACTTGTGTAGGTCTATAATATTAAGTTTTCTTTAGCCCAGTTTAGAATACAATACATGCAGTAGATCTACATATATGTAGGCCTATAAAGTTTTTGTTAGTCCAGTTTAGAATACAGTAGGCCTACATACCCCATACCTGTGTAGGTCTATAATATAAAGTTTTCTATATCCCAGTTTAGAGTACAGTACATACAGTACACAGGTGTAGGCCTATAAAGTTTTCCTCCCACAATCTGCCAGACGATGCCTCAAAAAAAGAACAAGTGGGAATGGAGGCCTCCATTATATTACGTTTACTTTTTCACTACTGCTAATTTTGCAATGATGATAACGAGAATTGCTATGATGATGATGATGATCAAAATTATCAGGTCATAAAGTATCCCCAGATAATGATAGAAAAATACATGTATTCAAACTGTCATGTTTTTCAAAAACGCTGAGTTTAAGGGGGAGTTTGAATGAAACCATCATTTTGTGTTGTATTGAGTTGCAAAAGATAAACTAAAAACCTGTCTATAAAAGCGCTATAAGAAACAGAGAAAAAGAATAACTGTCATTGTTTTGAATCCAATGTTTAGTTTTACGGAAAAGAAAGCGAGACTCCGCTAAACCTCTTTTACGAACTTCGCATTGGCTTCCTGTTGAGAAAAGGATTGTGTACAAGTTGGCCTCCCTATGTCACGAATGTTTGAATGATAATCATATTTATCAAATCTGTTAAGACTGTACATTCCAACTCGCAGTTTAAGGTCATCAGCTGACAAAAAGACATTTATTTTACCATCTATGAAACTTAAAACAATGGGTGAAAGGGCATTTGAATACCAAGGCCCCAAGATCTGGAATACTTTACCGAGTACTTTGAGAAAGATCAAATCTTTTGATTCATTCAAATGTCAGCTGAAGTCGTTTCTGTTTTTAAATTAATAAGATGAATATTTGGAGTGATTTTCTTTAGTCAGAACACAATGTTTTATGTTACTGTTGTACGTTGTACTGTATTGTAAAGCGCTCAGAGCCTGTGTACTTTTTTCGGGGTTGAGCGCTATATAAATGTCATGTATTATTTATTATTATTATTATCCGTAGAACCAGAGTTAACACCATTTACAACACAGGCTGCGTCAACCCTGCCTACAAAGCTAACAGAGGTTGTTTGTTTTTTATTTTTACTTTTTTAAAAGTAAAGAGAAGCACCTTGACTCAATGATGGTCATTTGTTTACTGCAGACAGAGGAAAGTGAACAATACCCATGTAAGGTCTTGACTTGGAACAGGAGGGTGAAACAAGTGTGTACACTCAGAATTGACGCTTGGAATAACAATAATAATAATAATAATAATAATAA